TAGGGGGTGGTGCTTATCTCCGTTTCAAAGCTGAAGAGCCAGCGCTGTCCAAAAACATTTCCGTGGTAATGTGGCCAGCATGACTAAATGCCGAAGGCACACGGAATCCTGTTACCTTCCTACCAAAGGTGGTTCCTATTTTTCTACTTGCATTTTTTACATGCTTTCGAATTGCTAGGTTGGCACAAGCTGGGACAAGTAACAGGAGCTCACTCCATTAAGCAGCACTAGGGATTCAGACCGCTGAATTGCAACCTTTCTGATTGACAAGCTCCGTCTCTTAGACCCTGAGCCACTGCATCCCATGATCTGGTACTTACATTTCAGCATTTTCACTGCCACCTTCAAGACAGAATCGTCCTTTCCCAGCCCAAAAGCTGTGGCTTCAATGACCTTCCCAAAAGCTCCAGCTCCAAGGACTTTTCCTGTGAAGTAAATACTGTCTTTTAAATTTTTCTTAAAATTAATTTTAATAATATGCATTCATATATATTATTTTTTAATGATGCAGATTTAAGATCATAAAAAGTAAAGAAAAGCATATGCAAAGAAAAAAGAGGAAAAATGAAAAAAAGGGAGTAGAGAAACACAAAGTAGATAAACAAGGAATTTACAGGCATCCACAGAATTACTTAAGAAAAAAATAATTCATTCTTCTGCAGAAAGAACCATGCTTACTTTCCAATAGGAAACAAAGAATATTTGCAGCAGTTACCAGGTGAAGATTTATTTCTGTATACTTTATGGGAAATAATAACATTTAATAGACAAATACAAATATTGCTTTTCTTATTTAGTTGTTCCATGCCAATCTTTGCCCTTGTTGATCAAATGATCTAATATTGAAACATATTGCTATATGTATTCTGTTATCAGTTTTAACATTTAACATTTGTCTAAGCAATTGAAAGTACAACATCAATAATGCATTATTTTAGTTTCTGAGTTTCCAATTTAATTCCAGTTGTGTTTTTTTTATTTTGGCATACTTTCTTTGCCAGTGACTCTAATGCCAATCAAAATAAGGAAGGAGAAAGGAGGCAGCTTTTTCCTGTCTCCTTATATAAGTACATTTCTGCCATAAATATTCATGATCTTGGCTTCTTAAGTTTTTAAAAATATACTCTGTATCCATGTAAAAGTAGTTGGAGCCACAATTCATCTTCTGCAGACTTGTAAGCATGAAAAACCATTTCAAATGGTTTCAAAATTTATTATAGCCCTGAGGTCAGATACAATTTCAAATAAAAGCAGATTTGTCTATGTTTATAGAAAAAAAATTGCATCTCCAAGAATCAGAATCTCTCATTTGGCACTTTCAAGAATGAGTTTAAAAAAACCTTTATTTTATTGTCATTTAAGGTGCAAATTGAAGTAGCCTGACCATTGCAAATGCACTCTNTACCTCTGATGACCAAAAATCATGTGGCTGGTGATTGTGGACTTTCCTGATGGGTTCACACGTATCCATCTATACGTCGACGGTCTAGGGTAAGCATCAATGAGCACCTGAATATACAGATTTTGATGCAAGTTTGTCTCCTGAATTCTGTTCTGTAATGTGGACAAGCGCAGATACCCTTTCTCTGGAAAGCAAAGTACAAAATTAATCCAGAGAGAAGTGGAAAGAGAAAAATCTTTCACTTTGAGAAAAATAGCTAGGCTCTTAGAAGAGTTCTCCATTTTGGAAGCTATGATGATGATAATCACTGAGGAGTCCAGCAGCAAAACAGCAGCATTCCAAAGCAAAAATAAAGTACATAAAGCTGTCATCCCCTTTCTACAGTTTAGCTCCTTAGAAACAACCAAAGTGCCTGTTTGGAAGGGAAGAATGACTAGAATGTATTGGGTTTGGATTTACATGGATGTATGAAGGATCCCAGTAATTCATATTATTCAATAATTTATTGAAATGGGGTCCAATGAGGTTCACTATTTGTAAGGGGCATGTATATTATGAAGGGTAGACCAAACACTAAGTAATTCTTCCAACATTCACAAGGAGCAGCCATAATGCTACAAGATGCACTATTGCATACCTGTGATTCATTATCTGTCACACTAAATAGTTACTTTTGCATGCAGAATTTAAACATTCCACAGGGAGGATTTCATTCAATTCAATATCTCTGTCCTGGTGGCCTTGAAATACATTGAAAAATAACTTCCACAACCCCATGTAAATTATGGGCCAATACAAGGAGAAGATATTTAGGGAAAGGTGATTTACAACCTTTGGTAATTCACACATCCTGTGTTTATTAGTTTCTGATTGGTTTAACTGATATTCCATATTTCTATTCATGAAAGCCTTGTGGTCAGCTAACACCATTTAAAAATCCCACGAAATAAAAGAAGACAACATTATTTATAAACTAGTAGGGTGTTTTGGATACACAGAATCTATTTTTATTGATTGGTGAGGAAGTTTTCCCTGTGTTCTTACCTACCTAGCACCTGGAGAGTAGCTGAAACATTCACAAATAATTGTCCAGCTTCACCAAGGCAAGTATATATTCCACTGTCTTGTAACTGCACTGCTGGAATGAATAGGTTGTAATCAGTGATGTATGACTGAGGAACTCCAGAATCTAATTCTGATAAATTGCAGATGGCCTGTGATAAGAAAAGACAGATATTATTGAGCTGATTGGGAAATATGAGCTCTAATGCCCATTGCCAGTATCTCCAATTAAACCTTTACCAGACTTTAGGAATTTTCCTTGAATAGGGCTGGGAACCCACTGGTCCTCCACTAATATTTTGTTAATCCCAATTGTTCATGCTATTTCATTATTCATATATATTTAAGATTATGCTAGTGCCTAAATATTAAGCCATGAGGACAATGACTTCACATCTGTATTTCTATATAAAAATATACTTAACAATAAAAAAATTGCAAGAGTAGGAGAGAGGGGAGGAAAGGGAAGAAGAGGGGAAGAGCAGAGGAGAGGAAGGGTAAGGAGAGAAGGGAAAGGAGAGAAGGGAAAGGAGAGGAGGAAGGAGAGAAGAAAGGAGGGAAGGAAGGAGGGAAGGAAGGAGAGAAGGAGAGAAGAAAGGAGGGAAG